TGTAACGCTCCATTAAGTAACCGCCTTCCCCCTGTTAGACTGTGTTTACAAGAATCCTATTAAATTGCTGGTGTATCTGGGTTGGAGCTGCTCAACCCTAACTTGCCTGTTTTTATGAAGACAGTTCAAAAGCGTCTACGCGACCTTATGGGTGATGGATTATTTTCCAGCCTGCAACTCCTTTCCCCACAGACGAAACGTCGCGAGCCTCACGCTGACCTATCACTATTTCTATGGCATGTGTTCTGACTAGCTACATTCATTAATCCGATCGGCCATCACCTTTACTACAGGGACCCGCCATGCCGCATACACACGAGTGAATCAACCGCATTTCCATTCGTATTCCGTTCGTAAGAAGTACCATATTTCCCGGGTGTCAAAGGAGCGGGTATTGTTTTTCTCCTGAAATAAGTCTCGAACTTTTGCATAACATGAGGAAATCTGGCATCGATAACATTCCACTGTGGTTAACATAGACCTTCGAATACCTTAACCTTCGACCCCAGGGATACACGACAAATTTTGGAACATAATGTCAGGAAAAAAAATGACTGCATCACCGACGGTGGGAAATACGGTAAGCTCCATTTGTACAGGTTTTACCTAAGAATTACCCCTTTGTAGAACAGACTCCCGATAGGATGCTTTCCTAATCACTATTATATTGACCTCTTCATGTATTAGTTTAACCGTATGCCTTTTCTGCATTACACCATGAACTTCGCACTACACACTAACCCTCTACATTGAGTGGCTCTTGGGCCTTGTTTTGGGTGAATATTAGTAGTAATTTTTTTTTTCACTCGAGCATCTCAAACAAAGCCTGTATGACGATAAACTGCATCCGGCAGCAAAGTGTTTTAATTGCTGTTGTTCCTACGGTCCACCCTGACCCGGGTAAATAGCGAACCCCCAAACTGAGGTTAAAATATTATGAAAGTATAAAAATGCATTTTTGTAGCAATACCAGCAATACATTTTCATAGTTGAAAAAAAAAAAAAAAAAAAAAAAAACTTTGAACAATACATTATTGGAAAAGGAAGAGAAAAATTACCAGCAAAACATTTTTGAAACAAAACAAAAAATAAAATAAAATAAAATAAATTACCAAGAAAATTAAATTTCGCCATTAAATGACTCATAAAGAGTTGATATGGCGTTAAACAGATTAAGCCAAATCCAACTAGAGATCTGATAAAAAAAAAAAAAGAAGACCCAACTAGAGACCTAAGGCCAGAAATGGCATCGTGACATTTTCTACCACACATTTGTGTAAAAAATAAAACTAAAACAGACTTAAGATCATAGACATTTTAAACAGACAAAGCCCTCCATAAGGTATGAGCTGTATTTGGGAAGACATTTTTGTATGTTTTTAAGTCACGGGCTCCTTATTTACCCTGTACAAATGAATAAACATTTAACCTTAACAATAAACAAGAGTATAAAAGATATAAAAAACAAGGCCTTCAATGTCAAAGATCGTTAAAAATCAAGTGATAATTAGGACATTACTTAAATAGACTGGTCCACTCGTATAAAAAAAAGGGATTGTTGTTTTGTTCTTTCAGGATTGATTTTTATAGATTAGTCTTCATTTCTTCTTCAAGTCATGATATTTGTTAATGAGTCTATCAGAATCTTTTCCAATCAAACCGAGGTCCTCGCACCACAACTGGAATTATTAATGTCCTCATGTGCTACATTTTTGAGATTCCCATTGTATATAGATATATATATATATTCCCATTGTATATAGAGATAAGGAAATTGAAAAGAGAATAACAAAACGTGAAGCTTGAATTAATTTTCATTAAGAAACAACATTGAAGGAAAAAAGAGAAGTAATTTCTAGCTTTAAATAAATAAATTAAAAAATTATTATTCATTATTATATCATATTTTTTTAATACATTCCTCTGGGTAGATGAGGAACAAACTTCTATGATTTCATGATGAGGATGAGGTTCTAACTCAGTGTTTCTCACGCGTTTTAAGCAACAGCACACCTAGGAATAAATGAAAATATCTCGACACACTTAGCAAAATTTTTAAAGGCTATACATTTAAATGTTATGAAATAAAACCATAGATTTCATAAAATAAAATACACATGAACTTACTTTATTTCACTGTTTCTTTTCAACTATTTGTACAGCTTATTTAGTGTGAAACCTGTAACGGACGTTTTCTTTTTTTTTTTGTTTGTTTATTTGTTTGTTTGTTTTTTTGTTTTGTTTTTCTTCACAATTTCTTCAATGTTTGGTCGAATGTGCGATAAACAGATTGTTATTCATTCTTCAGTTGAGTGTAATTTTTCTCGCTTCTTATTTTTGATGTCATTTAAGGGTTGAGAAGCCTTATTCACATAAATAAGAAGTAGAAAATTGCAATAAAACTGATAAGGCCTTTTTAGCTAATCTGGGATATTCCTTTTTTTATTGAAATCCTTCTGTATTAAAATATGTATGTGTGTCGTAACAATATTCCGCGGCACGCCTAAGAGGATCGTACGGTACACTAGCGTGCCGCGGCACAGCAATTGAGAATCACTGTTCTCAGTTTGAGAGAACCTGGTTTGAATGAACAAAGTCGAAAGATCGAAAGAAAAAAAAAACATTTTTTTTTCGTGTGTATACTATGGAAGAAGAAAATTGTTTTAATAATTAATATTTGCCATCTTTTGAACGTGTCAATAACATTTTCCTTGTCTTATGAATGTCGTCAAAAAAAGAAAGAAAAAATAAGTCAAGAGCGACAACTGGCGAATTTTTTTTTTTGATTTTTTTCCTTATTTACACTTTTACAAATGAATAAACAATTAACATTAACAATAAACAAGGATATAAAAGACATTAAAAAATCACGGCCTACAATATCAGAGATCGCTAAAATCGATTGATAATTAGGACATTAAATTGACTTAAATTAGCATTCTTTTCTTCTTCAAACCACGACAAATATCAGAGTTGAAAAATACTGAATTTTTTTATGGATTCCGAAGTATAGGTCGAAGTTTTTAATGTTGATACAGTGTAAACTCGATCCTTGTCTTTTTTACAGAGTTATTGTTCTAAGTTAAAATTTAAAATGTCAAATTTGAAATCATGTTTATATAGCGATATATATATGATTCATTTTTATTTTCTCAATTTTTCTAACTTTTAATTTTTTTTTTTTTTTACCAGAGATTCTTTTCGGAAGCCCATGCATAAAATGTTTGAGGTTAATAATTATTTAAATGAAGAATAAACGAATATTCACTTTTGTTAATTTATTAGAATTTTTGTTCTTTAATTAAAAATGTATAATATCCTTTTATTTGTTTTTTTTTTTTATTATTTAAAATAAATCGTTTTTTTTATTAAAAGAGAAAAAAAATCACTTCTAATAAACTGTGTAAAAAGTCAGCAATCAATTTTAAACTGTATAGAAATTATAAACAGGACTCCCACCTTCAGAATCGATAAAAAAAAAAAAATCAGTATTTTTTTATTCTGACAAACTATTGAGGAATGGTAATCTACAAAAGAGGGGGGCACGGCAGAGTAATGACAAGTGGTTTGGATCAAGGAGATCGGAGAACAGAGTTCGAATTGTAGTCAAGTTATTCCAGGTAATTCGAGAAAAGTATGAATCTATCTCTCGTCCCCAGCTATGGATAAAATGGCAAGTCTTATAGCCTTAGTTGGCAACCAGTCTAGGAGAAGGAAACTCTGAATTCAAACCACCTTGATTGTCCTGTTTCTTTCTTTAGACAAAGGTTACAAGATACAACCTCAAAACAAGAAGATATACACTTTTAAAAACCTCGCATGATGTCCCCACCTACTTCACGACAAAAAATGATGAACTCCTCGGGCCTTGAACAAACATAAACCTAGGACCTGGCACGGTAACCTCTTTGATTTTGAATCATTCCCACTTGGGTGTATCGACGATGAATCTGCAAAATTTATTTCCAAAACATTTTTCCTAGTTTTTTTTTTTTTTTTTTTTTTTTAACGAGCGGTAGTGCCGATAATAATATGAACTAATTATGGATGATTTCTGGGCTTATAAAACTTCTTTTTACTTTCTTTTCTGTCTGCTTGGCTCTGTCTTTTCACGTCGATCTGTGTTTGTAATTTAATAATTTATTTATGGGACATTAATTCTGTCAGACCTGAAACTGTATTATTTAAAAACAAAACAAAGTAAAAAAAAAAAAAAAAAAAATATCACCTTAACTTTCTTCCTTTTTTTTTTCCCCGGTATGGCCGTGAAAAAACAAGTCGTATGTAAAATCCTCTTGTAATCAATCAATAGAAATCCAGGATCCGAACTTAGATATACCTTTCAGTGAGGCATCCATGACAAACAAGAAAACAGAAATTGTCAGTCGAGAAACATCAACTTCGTTAAAAAAAGTAAAACTCACACAGCTAGTCCATCCCATAAGTCACTGTAGTTGTAGTAGTAGTAGTTGACGTTATTGTGGATAACTTTTTAAAAGAAAAAATTTAATTTCTACTACAGTACACACAACCACTTGTGTGTATGCGTTGGAAAGGGTTCGCCTCTTGCAATGACGTTTGCATTTCGGCGTTTTTGTCTGCCCATACCGATTTTGTTTATATGAAACACTTTATGATTGCAATTGTTGTTGTATATTTGTTTAGTTTTTTTTTTTTTTTTAATGCTCTCGTGTATGTGTGTGTGTGTGTAACGAAAGAGGATGTCCTGGAGTCGTACGCACTAGTTGCAGTGGCAAGTGCGCACACATGACTCTATTCGGCGCTTGCGAGGAGAACGGGAAAAAAAATCGAAGTTTTTGTGTTGCTTCTATCTATCTATCTATATATATATATATATATATATATATATATGTGTGTGTGTGTGTGTGTGTGTGCAGCAATCCTTCTTTCATGCACATTTCATTGAAAACGACAAACAAGGTGCTTTTATTTAGTTCTTTATACAATTTCTCATGCGTTTGTATGTATGTATGTATATA